ATGGAGGCGGGCTCCCCCCTCCCCGTTTATTTTGGTGTGCACTATCACGTCAAAGGGCTACGTCTATTACTCTCCCTCGAGCTGCAGCACTCCGTAAAGATTGGGCTGCCATTTCCTCAAGAAGAAATCAGCACCTATTGAAACGTAGCCTGCTAGAGTGGAAGTTGGATGAAGGCTACAGGGTGAGTCCAACACCCTATTGAATTCCAGCATTACCGATGGAGGGCGCCACGAACTGGTAAGTCATTTTCAGCCACGTGTCCGGACACTTTTGATCACATAGTGTAAGTGTGTGTGTGGGATAGAACAAGGAAGAATAAGAAACTGTCGTGGGAGTTCCGAGACCCGCTTGTTAAGGTACTGCTCCGACATTCATCAAGTAATGATAAAAAAATCTAGAAGCTCAAAAACTGCATGTACTTTATCACCCGCATTTTTACGCTAAATTACGTGAAAAGTACTAAAATTTTTGAAAAATTGTACATGACCTTATTTTAAAATAAATTTTTAAGGAACAGATTTCATTAAGGGAAAACATCTCTATCTTTAACTCTTTAGTTGTAGGAAGACTCCGAAAACATTACTAGAACTTTTTCAATTTTCAAAAAGACAGGGTATTTAACGAACATGAGGCCTGCACCATTCTCTTAAACGTCCTGAACACTATGCAACAATAACATTTAATAAAGAACGATAAGCTATTTTTTTAAAATTTGGAAAATGAAGCAGAGGCTTTGTGTAAAGTACCCTCCAAAACTGAAATATCGGTATGAAATTCCAAGAGCCGCGACATCAGCCAAATCGATTGGAGAATATCAATTTTGGAGAAAATTGGCTGAACAGTATAGCCGCTGGCGTTGGTCACAGGCGGACGGACAGACAGAGACGTTTTGCCGTCCTTCGAGTTTAAGGACCCAGAAAACATGAACTCTGGATTCTCCACGTGATAGATGATTTCTCCCTTAATTTAGCAACCGAATTTATCCTTTTTTAAGGGTCCGGCAATAAGAGTTTTTCTCCCGTTCTTTTTTTCGCGTAGAATTGCGTTCCTTTCTGTGTACTCCGTATCGAGAAAGTAAAACACGGAGAACTACCAATGAGAGCAGCCGGCGGCTAGACGTCTCCTCCGGATAACTGTTGGAATCGACCGAGCTAGAGTCGAAAATCCGCCGTTGGGAGGCGCACCGCACGGCTCCAAGGCAGAGGCATAAACAGCAGTGGCTTTGACTGCGCGACCGTATTTCCTGGCCGTGGGTGGGGCCCGGGGTGGCGTTTCTGCCAGAGGTTGTCCGCCTTCGCTGCATTTGCAGCTCCGCTTTAAGGCGCCGGGGACTCGCCCTGCCCCATCCCTCCACAGAACAATATCTTCGTTATAAATATTACAGGGAAAACTAAACGTTTCTACAGTTGAACCATTTGGAAATATCTTACTTTTCAACATCTTTTATTGAATTAGTTAATTTTGATTGATGGATTACGGATTGGTTGCGCTACGGAATACGATTTTCACCTCCAGGAAGGTAGAGAGCGCAACGTACCCAATGTTGTTCGTAGATTACGAACATCACACTAAAAACCTCATACCACTTCACAATTTTGAAATATACCGTATATTTACACTGTATTAAATCATATTTTGCTATTAATGCAAATACATTTAAATTGAACATGTAAGATATGTACAAGCAATACGCATAAAATCTATTTAAAATAAAATATATTTCTGTTTATTAAAGCCACATTCACGAGATATCAACGAAATTAGGCTTTCGTGGTTATTTTATTCGAATATTGCCGTTTTTATTCTCGCGTCTGATAGACGCGCATAATTTCGAGTAGATGTTAGTGAATGTTTTGAAAAGAAGTCACGTGCACCCGCATCAGTCACCAAAAAGGAATCACTTTAGCTCCTTACCTTACCGCACGTGTACAAGTATCGAACTGTTGGGTGGCTCATTGTGAGTGAGCCGGTGCCATGTGCAACTGAGCCTCCAGTGCGCGTGAAGTTCGTGTCGGTTTGCGTGCGCCTCAAACACATAAATACATTACAGTTCTATATTTTTATAAAGGACAATTTGCCACATGATCTGTAGAATTCAATACATTCGATAAAATGCAAATCGTCATTTCACATTGAAATGTGTGAATCAACCCAATATCTTTGGTTACGTTTGTGGAAGATTTACACCCAAACTATGAACCCAAAATATGAAGTTACAAAACTTGCATTTTCTTTATACTTTGGCTGTCGTGTTTGTGATCAGTACAAACCTTGAGCTGCTCACCAGTGTTGTATCACTTGTACAATGAACGAATTAGGTAGAACCACTCAAATCATTGTGGTTCGCTGTAGTACTGTGTAACCAAGAAACCATTTTAATGATTACTACTCCATCATGAGGACCGACCAGATGCATCATCCGAATAATTCTTCTGCCATGCAAGCTCTGTCCTACGACGAATACGAATACGAAATACTCGAACCAGTGCCGGTGCCTCCGGAAACAAGGTCAATAAATTCATTTATTAAACTGTGATGAAACGTGAAGCCGTTGTTCTCCCACAAACAGAATCCTCCGTTTCAAAAGATCCAGATTCCTTCGAAGGAGATCTAACACCTGTCTGCACTAGTACAGCTGAAATACCTAAATGATTTGGCACGGGGTCTGAATTTGTCATAAAATATCCTAAACTCTTAGGCTCCAGATTACAATAATGGAATCTACTTTCTACTGAGACAAAAAATCATACTTTAGAAACAGACACGTAACCTTCAACCCAATATCTGGAGGTAATTTTTGTTTTTTGTGCAGATATTTGGGGGTTAATGAGTGAATTGTATGTTCTCTATAATCCAGATGAATTTCAATTGTTTAAAGATTCCAGACATTCGACTGGTGTTGATCGACGAAACTACGAAAAAATACTTAATTTTGAGAGACTTGTTCTTTAAAGTCTGCGGAGATAAGGGTAAAACAAAAGAAACATGCAAACATTATTGCTACAGCAACGAATGCTGTTGAATGTCTTTCAGATTCTTTTAATATTGTTAAGCATATTTTTGTCAATGCAGGCAGCATATATTTTTAGTTTAAAAAGGTGTTGAAGAAGACATGATGTGCTGTGTTTCAGGCAGTTTAATGTAGATAGTTTTGCACATGTCAGCTATGAGTCTTTGACAAGAAGAGGTCGCAGATTAATTCGCAAATTGTTCTTTATAATTTTACACAACTGTTGCCATTTAAATGGGAACGTTATTGCGGTGTTGTGGCACCAAAATATACATCACGTATCAAGGGTGCGTGCAGCTTTCTTCTCTGTCTGCGCTGAGTGGAGCGGGGCTTCGAGAGGAGGAGCTGCGGCCTCCGGGCCCGGGCCCTTCTCCACTAAGCGCCCGCTTCTGCCTCACCTGCGACCCTTTGAGAAAACGGCACGCAATTTCAGTGGATCAACATGGAATTAGCGCACGACTGGCGTGAAGCAAACACAGGAGTGTTTAAAATGTTCTAATGAGAATATTACTGCGCCCTTTCTGTTATGAGCCACATTTTCTATTTCCGAAAGGAATGACGTTTTTCAACAAATTGAAATATGTTAAAGGAATTAAATATCTAATCAATGAGTTGAATACATTTTACATGTTTGATCTTATGGAGTGACGGAGTTTGCGCGGAGTACAGACAGCTTGGATTACCATTGTTCTAAATAATGTGGACGGAATTGACTACGCTACACGGCGAGGTCCATTCATCCACTGTTTGGAGGAGAATTTTGGCCGGTGGCCGGATGGTCTCATCGGTAGTGCTCCGTGGCTTCTCCGATCAATACCAGACGAATGCCGTAGCAATTCCCCACAGACTCACACTTGCACTTGCACTTGCTTCCACTACGCTCTCATTCTTGCCGGGAGCGTAGAGCGTGTCCCGGCTGGTGGTGGGAGATACCTGGTCGGGGAAAATCCTCGCAAGCCAACGTAGGACGGCGCCTCATCTCACCGCCATCTTGCGATAAAGGCGCACTACACTTACGGGACCAAAAACCTCAACGGTTGACGCGATGGGAATCGTTAATAAACCAACCATTTGCCGGAAAATGCGCCGAAAATTCGCCTCTACGGGGGATGCCATAATACATTTCCGGCAGTGAAAATCTAATTGCAGGATATCACACACGAAGCGACATTGAGGCGACCGAAGGCAATTCTGAATTACTATGCCCAATCTGGTCCCTCGGGCCGGCCTCTCCTGGCGAGCGAAGAGGTTCGCCAACTCCTCTAGCCGCCATGAAGACCTCGAACAACATGAATCCACACTTCGAAGTTTTGGAGAAAGAAATAATCTGCCACAATGTAAGAACATTTTTAATCTTCCAAACGAAATATACGTTCATAATTTCCAGTTTCAAAAAACCAAGCTTGAATATTTGCAAAGGTGCAGTTACTTAAGGGTCAACAACGTTTGCTTTCTGCGAAAAAGCATGATTCCTTTTATATGGGCATTCCATCCTTCTGCACGAGTTATATATGAACGAAAGGTCTCAAAAATTGAAATTAACTCAGAAATAACTATGTATGGACATTATGTTTGTAGGGCCATCGATATTGTAAAATGTATATATTTAAAAATTAATTATATTTCTTAAAATTCTATAAAAAGGCTTTCAAAATTTATATAATATTGTCCCGTTTCAACTGATATCGTTGTATTTCGTTTTACTTTATTTTAAGCTGTGAAAACCACTGATGATGGGTAAATAATCCCTGAAACATTTGAAGTCTCTCTTATAGAAATTATTTCTTTCCCCGTTCCTCCAAAATTGTGCATTTCCACAAAATGTTCGCCGAAAAATTCGAAATTGAAATAGCTTGAGTTGTTTCTTATAATTTTCAAAGTGCACTTTTCTTTTCCTAATTTAAATAGGAATGTAAAACTAGTAATAAAGTAAAAAAAATGTAGGCATATTTTGGATAAAAAGAAAATAATAACGTAAAATATTTGTTTTGTATACTTTTTGTTACTTATATTTTTTTCTTTAATAATTTCAAGTCATTACACTTCATAAAATGAAAACCAACACAACATAGGAATCAAATATTTGATATTGTTTTGTTGGTAATTATAGGCGTTGTAGAAATACAGTGCGCGCTATTTTATAAATATTGTAAATATAATTGACGATGTGTAGTATACATTGTGATATTTCTTAGGTGAGTCAAATTAGTGGCAAAATACCATAAATAAACATTTTACTATTTCATATTTACAGTACAGTGTGATTAACTTAAATGTGATTAACTTAAAGTCACATGAGTAAAACAGAATAACAATTTGAAATGTTTATGAAAATAATACTATGAATTATGTCACAAAATTGTTTTGAAACAGCTATGTATTTGGCACAGACTTCTACTTCTGTGGTGAAAATCAGTCTATATTCTCATGAAATGTTATTCCTGAGGAGGAGGATTTCATATTTACGTAAAAGATGCTCAGGGCATTTCTGGTTATTCAATAGTACTTAGTATTATCAACGATATTACTAAATATTTTCTAAATTGCGTTTAACACTTTTGAAAACATTTAGAATTTACAATTTCCTTGAGATACTTGAATATAGTGTCAATGATGAATTACTTTCAATACTGACTTTTAATTATCTCTTTGAAATTGTATTATATAATTGTAAAATCAAATGAATTTTACTAATGTATACAATTTGAATTTTACCCACGAAAAACAGAAAGTTGTTGGGTAGACAGCTAGACCTTCAACCGAAACAACTTTCGAGTCATTTAAACCTATTGAAGTTGTCATATCTGCAAGACCCAGCATTTTATTGCTCCATTTGGAACGGGCATATGTGAACACGTTCGGCAAGACAGCCATGCGATTATGCGGTTCGAATCTTCTAAGAACCTAAGTCGAAGCAACGCTTCAACGTGCCAGGGTGCGCTCTAATGTTAAGAGGGAATCGCCGAGTATCGTTTGATCAAAACATTCATTTGTCTCTGCAAGGGACACAATGTCCAAGTTCTTCATAGTGATAGCGGGCTCACTCCCAGACGACGCTCTCGATCCAGGGCACGTAGTTGGCGACGCGGACGTAGACGCCCGGCTTCTTGCCCCCGCACGGGTCCGGCCCGAAGCTGGTGACGCCCACCACGGTGAAGACGGCGCTGCGCGGCTGCTCCTGCACCTGCAGCGGCCCCCCGGAGTCGCCCTGTGCACGCGGCCCCGCCGCCATTACGACAAAGCATTGCATGGAATGTGCATGAAATGGAACTTGAACACTTTTTGTGGGGAATTGCTATGTATGATTGCAACTATTCCAATTGCACTTAGGTAGCGTACATCGTTATTTCATGGTCAGAGATTTGCATTTTATCTTAAGGATTAATGTTGCAACGACAATGTCAATTGTGTAAGAGATAAGTCTTATATTTTCTGTAGTATATTTTGGCGTTATATTTCTGAGTAATATTTTAAGGAAAACTGCAGTTTTTCGAGTTGATTTACCCAAATTACTACCACTCTTCCACCAAAATTACTAAAATAGGTTGTAAAGTAGTGTTGAAGCACAAAAGGTCCGCACAGTCGCACTCGCTCACACACTTAAATAAGACATATATCCACTTGTAATAGTCTAATAATTATCAACCCACAATGGTGAAAAAAATTAATCGTATCTCTGTAAATAAAATGATTCGTATCTTAACCTACATGTATCTACTCGGTATCAGTTTTCTACTCCTTCCTCTGCCTTTTTCTACCTTCATTTGTCAACGGTTTTACAACTTCATTCGGTCATTTTCGGTCATTTTCAGTTGAACAATAGGAATGATATTTGAAACTATAAAATGAACTTAAATATTATATGTTAAATACTTATATGGAAAATCACTTAGTAAAAAATCACCTTACAGATTTTAAAAAGGTTTTTGACAAAGTTGACAACGTAATAAATTCAATTACGGCCAATAAAGAATTTATCAGTTATGATTTTATGAAGTTTACAGAAGATGAAATTATCATTTTAATAAGTGCCGTATATTTCAGTTCAGGCGAAGGTTTTAAAAGTTTAAAGTTAGACGTGAAAAGTGAAATGAAAACTATTATATAAACACTTTAAACACAAAATCTTAAATGAAGAGAGGTGGCTGAAGGTATAAACTGATGTCACTGAAGTGTCTCTGATCGTAGGTTCGAGTCCCAACGGTTTCCCGTGGTTTCTCTCATCAATAACGAGCAGAATAGTAGCAAACGGAACACGGACGGCACGCGATCTTTCCTTCCTCTGACTTGTTCTATCTTCACCCCTTACTTACACACACACACACACACACACACACACACTTACTTTTACTTGCACTACGCTACCACACATGCAGAGACTGGTCGGGAGCTTAGAGCTTGTCCCGACTGGGGCGGCGCCCCGTTGGTGGGAGATGCTGGCAGGGAAAAACACCGGTAGCCGTTGCCGAATCTCGCCATCCAGCGGGGAAATGGTCACCGCCCCCCCCCCCAGGAAAAAACAGGCACTACACTTACGAGACAGTTGACCTTTGCATTAATCGCTCTCGTATGAGCAGTAAGAAGGGGGAGCGGGCGCTGATACGTACGACGCATGTGTCGGCGAGGCCGCGCGGGTCGCCGGCGCAGAGCATGTCGTCCGAGATGCCCTGCGGGATGCGCGCCGACGTGCGGTGCAGCGCGCGACACTCCTCCAGCGGCACGGCGCTCAGGTTGGTCTTGAGCAGCAGCGGCGACGGGGCCGACCCTGCGCACGCCACGCGCCTCGTCACTGGCTGGGCAGGGCAGTTTGCGTGGGGGCGGGGCACGTGGTCTCCGCCGGCGCGCCCCGCCGCGCTCGACCCCCCCCGCCGCGCCGCTCTGCTCCGCCAGCCTGCTGGGGCGCCACTCCAGTTGCGGGCGTGGTCGAGTCGGCCCGCCCAGCCCCCCCCCCGCCGCCCCCCCCGGCCCCCCGCCCCGCCCCCCGCCCCGCCCCCCCGCCCGCCCGCCGCCGCCCCGCCCCCCCGCCCCGCGCGCCGCCCCGCGCGGCGCCCGGCCCGCGCCGCCGCGGCCGCGCGCGGGCGGGCGGGGCGGCCGCGGCGGCCAGCGCGCCGCCTCGCGCGGCCCCTTCCACCGCCCCGGCTCACCCGACCTCCCCCGGCGGGCGGGCGGCCCCCCGCCGGCCCCCGGCGCCCCGCCCCCGCCCTGCCCCTGCCCGGCCCCCTCGCCCCGCCCCCCCGCCCCCCCCTACCCCGCCCCGCCGCCGCCCCTACCGCCCCCGCCCCTACCCCGCCCCTGCCGCGCCTCTTACCCGCACCCGCCCCCACCCTCCCTGCCCCTCCCCCCCCACGCAAGAACTCCCGCCCAGCCAATACCGAGGCGCGGTGGCTAGCGGAGTCGGCCCCTCGCGCTGTGTCAAGACCAACCTGACGCCGCTTCCGCGGGAGGAGTGTTCGCGCCGCTGCACCGCACGCGGCGCGCATCCGCAGGGCATCTCGGACGACATGCTCGCGCCGCGACCGCGCGCCTCGGCGACACATGCGTTACTATCAGCGCCCGCTCCCCCTTCTTACTGCTCATAAACGGAGACGATTTAATGCAAAGGGTCAACTGTCTCGTTAAGTTGTATGCCTTTTTTCCTGGGGGGGGCCGTGACCATTTCCGCTGGATGCAGATTCCGCAACGCTACGTGTTTTCCCTGCCAGCATCTCCCACCAACGGGCGCGCGCCAGTCGGGAATCAAGCTCTAGGCTCCCGACCAGTCTCTTCATGGTTACGTAGTGAGTAAAAGTAAGTGTGTGGTGGGGTGTGTTGGGATGTGTTGTGTTGTGTTGTGTAAGTAAGGTGAAGATAGAACAAGTCAGAGGAGAGAATAATTCGCGTCCGTCCGTGTTCCGTTTGCTACTTTCTGCTGTCGGTTATTATGAGAAAACCCACGAAAACCCGTTGGGACTCGGAACCTACCGAATCAGAGACACTCAGTGACATCATTTATACCTTCCAGCCACCTCTCTTCATTTAAGATTTGTTTAATAGTGTTTATGTATAATAGTTTCATTTCACTTTTCACGTCTACTTTAAAACTTTTAAACCTTCCCTGAAGCTGAAATATACGGAACTTATTAAAATGATAATTTCATCTTTCTGTAAACTCAGAAAATCAACTATAAATTCTTTATTGGCCGTAATTAATATTGATTACTGCAACTTGTCAAAAACCTTGTTTAAAATCTGTAAGGTGATTTTAGCTAAGTATTTTCCATATTAATATTTAACATATAATATTGTAGTTTCATGTTTAATAGTTTCAAATATGCATTCCTATTGTTCAACTGAAAATGACCGAAAATGACCGAATGAAGTTGTTTAAACCTTGACAAATAGGTGGTAGAAAAACAGAGAGAGGGAGTAGAAAAACTGATACCGATAATACTGTAGGTTAAATACGAATCATTTATTTTACAGAGATACGATTAATTTGTCACGTTGGGTTGATATGTATGTAGACTATTACAAGTGATAGTATGTCTTATTTAACGTGTGTGAGCGAGTGCCGGACTGCGGACCTTTTGTGCTTCAACACTACTTACAACCCTATGTTAGTAATTATTGTGGAAGATGGTAGTAATTGGGTAAATCAACTCGAAAAACTGCAGTTTCCTTAAATATTAACTCAAATATAACTGCCAAATATATACTACAGAAAATATAAGACTTATCTCTTACACAATTGAACTTTCGTTCAACATTAACTCCTTAAGATAAAATTGCAGATCTGCTGACCATGAAATAACGATTGTACGTACCTAATGTGCAATTGAATCAGTTGCCAATCATACCATAGCAATTCCCACAAAAATGTTCAAGTTCCATTTCATGCACATTCCTGCAATGCTTGTCGTTTAATGCGTCGGGGGCCGCGGGCACAGCGACTCGGCCGCTGCAGGTGCAAGGACAGCCGCGCAGCGCCGTCTTCACCGTGTGGGCGTCACCAGCTTTCGGGCCGACCCGTGCGGGGGCAAGACCCGGGCGTCTACGTCCGCGTCGCCAAACTACTTCCCTGGATCGAAGGCGTCTCTGGAGGTGAGCCCGCTATCACTATGAAAACTGTGACATGTGTCCCTTCAGAACAAATTGAATGTTTTGATCAAACGATCTCGGCATTCCCTCTTAAACATAGAGCCACCCTGGCACGTGAAGCGTTCTTCGGACTTAGTTCTATAGAATATTCGACCGGCATAATCGGCATGGCGTCTGCCGAAGACGTCTTCACATGATGCCCGTTCCAAATGGAGCAATAAAATGCTGGGTCTTCAATATGACAACTTCAATAGTTTAAATGACATCGAAATTGTTTCGGTTGAGAGTCTAGCGTTCTACCAACAAACCTTTCTGTTTCGTGGTGTAAAAGTCAAATTGTATACATTAGTAAAAATTCATGATACAATTAATAATACAATCAAGAGATAAATTAAATCAATGAAAGTAATCATATTGACACTATATCAAGTATCTCAAGGAAATGCTAAATTCTAAATGTTTTCAAAAATTAACGCAATTAGAAAAATATTTAGTAATATCGCTGATAATACTATCAGATACATTGAATAACCAGAAATCCGGTCTGAGCATCTTTTACGTAATATGAAATCCTGCCTCCTGCAGGGAATAACATTTCATGAAAATATAGACTGATTTTCCACCACAGAGGTAAAGTCTGTGCCAAATACATATCTGCTTTCAAAAACAATTTTGTGACATATCATAGTTATTATTTCATAAAATTTCAAATGTATTCGGTTTGACTCATCACTTTAAGTAATACATAAGGTTAATCCACGTGTACTTAAATATAAAGTAAAATGTGTTATTATGTGTATTTTGCCACTAATTTACTCCACTAAAAATATCACGAATGGTATACTACCATGCTCAATTGTATGGATTGTAACGAATATTTATGAAATAGGCGCACTTATTTCACAACGCCCTATAATTTACCAACAAAACAATATTCAAATATTGGATTCCTATGTGTGGTGTTGGTTTCATTTGATGAAGTGTAATGACTTAAGTTATTAAAAAAAAATATAAAGTAAACAAAAAGTATTAACAAAGACAAATATTACCTTATTATTTCTTTATCCCAAAAATGCCTACATTTTTTACTTTATTACTATTTACATCCATTTAAATTAGAAAAGAAAATTGCACTTTGAAGAATTATAGGAAAACAACCAAGCTATTCAATTTCGAATTTTCGGCGAAACATTTTGTGAAATGCCACAAGTTTGAGAACGCGGGGGAAAGAATAATCGATAGAGGAACTTCAAATGTTCAGTATTATTACCCATCATGATGAGTTTACCGAGCTTCAATAAAGTAAACGAAATACACATATCAGTTGAATAACGACAATATTATAAAATTTGGAAAAGCCTTTTTACTAGAATTTAAGAAATATAATAATTTAAATATTACATTTTACCATTATGCGATGCCCTACAAACATAATTCCATACTATTATTTCTGAGTTAATTTCAATTTTTGAACCTCGTCATATATAACTCGTGCAGAAGGATGTGAATGCCAAGTAAAAAGAATCAGCTTTTTCCAGAAAGCAAGACTTGTGACCCGTTAAGTAACTGCACCTTGCCAAATATTCAAGCTGGTTTTTGTAAACTTGAAATTGAACGTTATATTTCGTTTGGAAGATTAAAAATGTTCTTACATGTGCAGGATTCATTTCTCTGTCTCCCGAAAACTTCGAATGTGGATATTGTGTTCGAGTCTTCAGTTGCGCTAGAGGATGCGAACCTTTCGCTCGCCAGAGAGGCCGCCGGAGACCAAATTGGGCATAGTTATTTCAGAATTGCCTCGGCCGCTCAATGTCGCTTCGTGTGTGAATATCCTCAATAGTTTTCACTCCGAAATTATATGCATCCCCGTAGAGGCAATTTTCGGCGCATTTTCCGGCAACATGTTGTTTATTAACGATTCCCAGTCGCGTCAACCGTTTGAGTTTTTGGTCCCGTAAGTGTAGTGCGCCTTTTATCGCAAGAATGGCGGTGGAATGACGCCGAGCCCTGACGTTGCTGCGAGGATTTCCCCGACCAGTATCTCCCACGCAGCCACGCGGACCCACGCGCTACGCTCCCGCAAGAATGAAGGGCGTATAGTGGAAGCAAGTGCAAGGCAAGGGAGTCTTGGGAATTGCTACGCATTCGTCTGTATTGATCGCAGAGCCACGGGAGCGACACCGATAACCATCGCCACCGCCCAAATTCTCCTCCAACAGTGGATGAATGGACCTCCCGTGTTAGGTAGTCAATTCCGTCCACATATTTAGGAAACAATGAATCAACTGTCGTACTCCGCGCAAACTCCGTCACTCCTTAAGATCAAACATGTAAAAATTATTCAAACTCTTGATGTAAATTAATTTCCTTAAACATATTTCAATTGTTGAAAAAACTCTTCCTTTCGAAATATAAAATGTGCTCATAACAGAAGAACGCGCCATAATATCTCATTAGAACATTTTAAAAAACATCCTGTGTTTCTTCACGCCAGTCCGTGCGCTAATTCCATGTTATCCACTTAAATTGCGTCCCGTTTTTCTCAAAGTCGCAGAGCAGAAGCGGTCGCTTAGTGAGAAGGCCCGGCCCGGAGCCGCCAGCCCTCCTCTCGAAGCCCCGCTCCACTCAGCGCAGACAGAGAAGAAAGCTGCACGCACCCTTGATACGTTATTATTATTTTGTGCCACAACACCGCATAAAACGTTCCCATTAAATCAACAGTTGTGTAAAATTATAAAGACAATTGCAATTAATCTTGCGACCTCTTGTTGTTGTACAAAGACTCATGAAGCTGACATGTGCAAAAACATCTACATTAAACTGCCTGAGAACCACAGCAACATCATGTCTTCTTCAACACCTTTTTTTAAACTAATAAATATATGCTGCCGCCGATTGACAAAAATAGCTTAACAATATTAAAAGAATCTGAAAAGAACATTCAAACAGCATTCGTTGCAGTGGAGCAATAAGGTGTTGTGCATGTTTCTTTGTTTTACCCTTATCTCCTCAGACTTTAAAGAACAAGTCTCTCAAAATTAAGTATTTTTCGTAGTTTCGGTCGATCAACACCCAAGTGCAATTGTCTGGAATCTTTTAAACAACTTGAGAGATTCATCTGGTTATGAGAAACATTACAATTCACTCAGTAACCCCCCAAATATCTGCACCAAAAAACAAAAATTACTCCAGAGATGGGTGAAGTTTACGTGTCTGTTTCTAAATATGATTTTTTGTCCAGAAGTAAGGAAAGTAATTGCCATTATTGAATCTGGAGCATAAGAGGTTTGAGGAGTATTTTATACAAGATCGACCCCGTGCAAATTCATTTATATGTTCACTTACGTAGGTGCAAGACAGGTGTTAGATCCCGTCGAAAATCTGATCTTTGAAAACGGAGGATGTCTGTTTTGGGGAGAACAACGA